GAATCTAGAATAACAGATGCCGATTATGAACACGCTCTGACGGTCTGGGATAAATTAGGTTGTAAGAATTTAGGCGATTATCACGATCTGTACTTAAAAACCGATGTACTGTTACTCGCCGATATATTCGAGATATTTAGAAAGACATGTTTAAAACAATACGGCTTGGACCCGGCATGGTACTATTCCAGTCCCGGACTATTGTGGGATGCATTGTTGAAGAAGACCGGTGTAGAACTAAAACTACTCACAGATTACGATATGCTCTTGTTTATTGAGAAAGGATTAAGAGGTGGTATATCGATGGCAGCGAAAAGGTATTCTAAGGCTAATAATAAATTAGTGGAAGGATAAGATCCGAGTAAACCCGACACTCACATATTATATCTCGACGCTAACAATTTGTACGGATGGGCTATGAGTCAACCTTTACCCACGGGTGGTTTTGAATGGGTCGATGATATCCATAATATTCATAATAATGATGTGAATAAAGGGTACATAGTAGAAGTTGACTTGGAATATCCAAGTTCGTTACATAAAGACCATAACAGTTATCCGCTAGCTCCCAAAAGATTAATGGTTAATAAAGATTGGATGTCGGAATATCAACGCTCCTTGATGGGTAATAGTAGGTTAGCTAACGTAGAAAAACTCGTACCAAATTTGATGGATAAGACAAAATATATAGTTCACTACAGAAATCTCGAGTTGTATCTATCGTTAGGTATGAAACTTAAGAAAATACACAGAGTTCTAAAGTTCGATCAAAGCCCTTGGATGGAGCCCTATATAAGGTTGAACACAGATTTAAGGAAGATAGCCACCAGCGATTTCGAAAAGAATCTGTATAAGCTCATGAATAACTCAGTATTTGGTAAAACTATGGAGAATCTAAGGAAGCGTGTTGATGTTAAATTAGTCAGATCTAATGAGGAAGAAAGACTTAGGAAACTTATAGCCAGTCCGGCTTTTAACAGAAGCAAGATATTCGATAACGACTTAGCCGCGTTGCATATGCAGAAAAGTAATATAAAATTCAACAGACCGGTGTACGTCGATATGAGTATTCTCGACTTGTCATAACACTTAATGTATGACTTTTATTACAACGAACTTAAGAAGCAATACGGCGATAGATGCGAGGTGTTATATACCGACACAGATTCTTTGTTGATGGAAATACAAACCGAGGATGTGTATAAAGATATGGCAGAAAAAATAGATATGTACGACACGAGCGATTATCCTAAAGATAATCCACTCCACAGCGTAGTAAATAAAAAGGTGTTAGGTAAGATGAAGGATGAATGTGCTGGGACCCCTATAGCGGAGTATGTCGGATTAAGACCTAAGATGTAGTCTATAAAGAAGTCCGATAATGGAGAGATAAGAAAAGCTAAGGGCGTTAAGAAGTATGTTGTAAAAAAGCATATCAAACACGAACAGTATAAAGAATCATTATTCAACGGTAGAACGTTCAAACACGAGATGAACTCTTTAAGAAGTTACAATCATAGGATATATGGATTAAGAATGAACAAGACATCATTATCCCCCTTAGATACAAAGAGATGGATTGATAATGATGGTGTAACTACCTATGCTTATGGTTATGGTGGTAATACCGTACCGTCAGGAACTATGAACAACTCCTCTCATACAAATGCCCTACCCGGTCCATCTTGAAGATAATAAAGAATAGGCTCTCCTTCTTTCGTAACCAATCGACTAATGTTATACGTCTTAAGGGACCATATGGGGTCGGTTGCATGACGTAGGCCTCCTTCGAGTTCACCTGCCTGGTATAAATATCTTACCCTTACTCTATCCGGAAGTTTTCGTTCTTTGCCTCTCCTCGGTGCTGAAGATTCGGAAGTCACGGATTTCATTTTAATAGCATCGGATGGTTTCTTCCCTATTAATCTCGTTACTTCATTATTCAGCGCTGATACAACGGCTGATAATCGTGTCACCCATTCGGTTGATCTCAATCGCTCGGATTTCATTTCGATCATATACTGATAGCCAAATAAACATTCCGCTAATGTCCTGTTAAATCTTTCGACGATAGCTTGACTGCGGTGGGCCTCTCTTTCACCACGGACGATTTCGACATCGTGCTTTGTTAACAGTTTAGTTACCGATCCCATAAACTCGCGACCGGGATCTACTTGAAATAGCTTAGGCCATTTTAGCCGTCCGCATTTATATATGCGACTCAGTGCATTAGCTACCTCTGTTGATTCTTTCGATGTTAATGGCTCAGCCTCTTTGTATCGACTAGCCACATCCACTACTGTTAAAGCGTATTTATACGTTTTGCGTTTTACCTTATCATGGGGAAGAAACAAGAGGTCAGCCTGATAAACTTCATTCGTCGTAAAAATATCAAACTTCTTCCTCGGTATATAACGCGGTGCCGGTAAATATATTTGCCAGATCGCTTGTTTCTTTAACCAATCCTTGGCCACATCTTTAGATACCTTAGCCACGGTGGCTAATTTTTTTATTGCTCCTATACCTTTCCAATATCCTCGTGGGCTATAGTAAATTTTATCCATTATTAATTAATATTGATGTTTCGTTTACTACAACTCATGACTATCATTGAATCGCATCATCATTTACACATAAAAAATCCCCCCTGTAGTAGCAGTATAGGTATATGAATCCGGCTCCAGTGGAAGTGGTCCAGAACCATCATTACCTATAAAAATTTGTATCATAGACTCCAGGTGGTGGTGAGCTGGAGTTAATTTAGCTGAATCTCATGACTATCGTTGAATCGCATAATCATTTTGGCATAAAAAATCCCCCCTGTAGTAGCAGTATAGGTATATAAATCTGGCTCCAGTGGAAGTGGTCCAGAACCATCATTACCTATACTACTGGGGTAGAATAGGCCTTCAGCAACCCATGCTTGTCGTAAAAGGCAATCGTGACAATGCTTGTTGTAAAAGGCGACTAACGGGATCGGGTGGTCAGGTTCATTGACTTGGTTGATGCATGTCATCGTATCCAAATTGCGTGGATCGATGTTCGTGACGTCAATCATTGGACTGCCTGGTCCAGACTCGATTATTTACAGACCGCCATCATATAGCTAGAATATTGCTGAGTGCGGCGTTAACAACAAACAAAATCAAACAAACAAATCCAAGCATTCCCAGTTGTGCTTATTTCAATCATGAAAAAACAGTGAAATATTATTTAAGTGCCATTTTGAGCAATATATCACTTAAACTGGACTCAAACCAAAGCTATGGGAATAACTCCAGGATATCAATCATACCAGAATGGAGAAATAATCCCCTGGCAAATCAATGAGGTAATATGAAGCAAACAGTTTGCTGTGATCTGTGGCTAATAAATATAGAACTCATACTACTATGTTACATAAAAGTTTCTTATTCTAGTTGTATTTGTAGAACATTGTTAATCCCAAACTTAAGCATGAAATGAATATAAGGCCTTATATTAGGACCCAGCATTTAATATTATGAGACTAAAAAAACATATCTGAAAAAAATCCCCCTGTAATGATTTTCCTTTTCATTGCTAATAAGTTTGTTAGTTTGTTGGTTTGTTGGTTTGTTGCTTAACGCCTCAGTCAGCAATATTCCTGCTGTATGACGGGGGTCTGTAAACAATTATTTCTCCATTCTGGTATGGAGTTATTCCCATAGCTTTGGTTTGAGTCCAGTTTAAGTAATATATTGCTAAAAATGGCAATTAGATCAAATGGTTTTTTCATGATTGAAATAAGCACAATTGAGAATGCTTGGATTTGTTTGTTTGTTTGTTTGTTTGTTTGTTTGTTGTTTAACGCCACACTCTGCAATATTCCAGCTATATGACGGCGGTCTGTAAATAATCGAGTCTGGACCAGACAATCCAGTGATTGACGTCATGAGCATCAATCCATGCAATTGGGATACAATGACATGTATCAACCAAATCAGCGAGCCTGACCACCCAATCCCGTTGGTTGCCTCTTTTGACAAGCATAGTCACCTTTTACGGCAAGCATGGATTGCCGAAGACCCATTCTACCCCGAATCTTCACGGGTCTATTGCTAATAAGACAAAAAGCATTTGGACATTCTTACTCTATTTCATTGTCAGAATTACTGGTTAACATGATAAAAACATTCATGTGCACACACCATTTATTGATCAGAAAAAATATTTATGACACACAAGTTTCATGCTGTCTTCTCACATTAAAAAATAATTGTAACTTGTTTATTTTACAGCAAATTGAATCATGGGTGCCAAATTCATGCCATTTTCAAGACATTTTATCCACAATTCAAATTTAAGGCAGTTTCAAGGCTGAACTACCAAATTCATTGCCTGCTCAAACCTTGTGTTAGCCGAGGTGTTTTGGGGGATTTTATTATTTGTTGTTCAATGCAGTACTCAGTCTGATAAATAATCGTGTCTGGACCAGTGGATCAGACAATCCAGTGATTAATATTGTGAGCATCTATCTACGCAATTGGTTGGTTGGTTGGTTTGTTGTTTAACGCCGCACTCAGCAATGTTCCAGCTATATGACGGCGGTCTGTAAATAATCGAGTCTGGACCAGACAATCCAGTGATTAATATCATGAGCATCGATCCAAGTCAGCGAGCCTGACCACCCGATCCCGTTAGTCGCCTTTTACGACAAGCATAGTCACCTTTTACAACAAGCATGGGTTGCTGAAGACCTATTCTACCCCCGAATCTTCACGGGTCATCTACCCAATTGGGTACAATGACATGCATCAACCATGTCAGCGAGCCTGACCACCCAATTCTGTCAGTTGCTTCCTACAACAAGCATGCATTGCGGAAAACCAATTCTAACACGGAACTTCACAGGGGGAATTCACAATGAAGAGGTCTTTGAAGAAAACATATCTAGAGGGTATCTATAGTTTGCAATAGAACAGTTATTTTCAATGATGTGGCACGGATCTATATTGAAGAATGCCTAAATGACAACTCACAGACTCAGACACACAACAGGGTAGTTTTTGCCGAGATGTCTGGCAAAGTCTCCAAGAGGCCCGAGGAACAACGGTATCCTATCTGGGGAAAACGTGGAGATCTGCAAAAGAATTAAGTTATGTGAACATGGTTTAACCTGAAACTATCTGTGAGTCTTCAAACTCCAAGGAAAAATAACAAATCTTTAACTTTTAACATGTTGGGTTCCCACATCAATTTTTGTCAGGTTTGGGATAACCACGGATTTGAGAATATATGTCAATCGAAGTATATGTCAATCGGAGTATATCTCACATATATCCCAGTTGGCATATAACATAACCTAATCTGCGTTATTTCAGTTGAGAAACATATCTTGAGTATTATCATCAGAGCATCTGCCTAACGATCCTTACCTTGTCATTCATAATAATAATTAATAAAAGGGACAAAATGCTTTCCATATTTTTAAGAAATCTCTGCCAAAAGAAGAGTCAATTTAGATTATATCATGAGCATGTGTTTATGAATCACTATCAAATAGTGATGATATTATTAGGTGTTTGCGAAATGGCAGGAAAACATTTACCTTAAAATAAAACTACACATTCAAGTATTATAGTGATTACTTCAACGTCTGAAAAATGAGTACTTTGGAAAATATCCTAACTTTCTCATGCGCAATCGTGGTTATCTCTGATCTGTTCACTCAAAATTTCAAACAATGGTATTCATCATTGGCCAATATTGGTTTACCTGGACCAGACCCAATTCAATTTGTTTGTTTGTTGTTTAAAGCCGCACTCAGCAATATTCCAGCTATGTTGATGGTGGTCTGTAACTAATCGAGTCTGTACCAGGCAATCCAGTGATTGGCATCATGAGCATCGATCAACGCAGGTCAGAGAGCCTGACCACCCGATCCCTTTAGTTGCCTCTCAGGACAATCATAGTCGCCTTTTATAGAAAGCACAGGTTGTTGAAGACCTATTCTACCCTGGGTCTTCACAGGTGACTCAATTCAAGGCTGATGTGGATGGAATATTGCTGACGATGGCTTTTATAGTAAATAAATAGATAGTCACATAACAGAGAATATTTAGGATTTCAAACTATGTGCCTTCTAAAGGCAATTTGAAAAAAAAAATATTTTGCTCAAATTGGTCGGTCAAGAAAAGTCACCATAACATTAGTTAGTACCAGATTAACATGAATTGGGAAATTTGCAATTCAAATTTGACATTCTGCAGATTTGGGGCAGAACACCCTGGATGAGGTGTGTTTCTATAGCTTGGGTTAGGGACACACCAATGGACAGCTGATTGAAAGCAAGCGACCTGTAAATGCATTTCTGTCTAATGTACCGTTCTGGCCAAACTCCCTGAGTCCACCGAGTTATTTTGAACTTTGAGAGCTGGGCCTGGCAGCGCTACGTAATGTAATGGTGACACTCAGAATTACAACAGACATTTATGATTTCGTCCGCCGATCTCTTTGGAGATACACAGAAGAGTGGGATACAGACGCGATGGAGAGTGAGAAGAGAGCCATACCCCCAATAACCAGAGGCCGAAGAGTATTGCCACTACCCAAAACGGATGTGGAAATACAAAATAGTCTCTGTTAGCTGGTTTGGTGAGTTTCTTATCTGTCGCGGCCATGTTGTGGCGTTACACCCATGTGTGTAAGGGAGACAACTTTTGAGTTGTAAACTGATACATGCGACGGTAAAATCATCGCATACACATGCAATGAGCTACAGTATACGTTTATAACGAACACGCTTATAACGAACTGACGGATATAACGAAGTGTTTTTTGGCCCCGTCCATTTTCTGTTTATATGATGTGTATGTGCTTATAACGAACTACGGTTATTACGAACTAAATTTAGTGGTTCCTTATATTAGTTGTTCGTTATAACCGTAGTTTACTGTAAATGCATGTTTGTCTGTCTGTCTGTCTGTCTGTGTTGTTATTGTTGTGGCTGTTTTGTTGGGTTTTTTTAAATGTAGCGGGAAAGTCCGCGTTCTTGTAACGCAGGTCTAAGACGTTTTCGTCTTTGGAAAAACACGTGGTTATGACAACGCCGCACTCAGCAATATTCCAGCTATATGACGACGGTCTGTAAATAACCGAGTCTGGACGAGATTCTGGACCAATCAAGTGATCGGCATCATTTGCATCGGTCTCAGCAATATTGGGATACGATGACGTGCATCAACCAAGTCAGAGAGCCCGTCCTCCCAATCCCGTTTACGACTAGCATGGGGTGCTCAAAACCAATTCTAACCCGGATCTTAACGGGTGAATTGTGGCGGGATTATAACCAAAAAGGTTCCGTGTCAAAAATAGATGTATGTGACAGATGTATGTATACAGACACTAAACTTTTGCTGCATTTTTTTATTTTGGGATTAACTACAAATTCTGCCCAGATATGTCAACGGTAACGTTATTTTTCAGGGCATTACCCTTTGCCAGGCTCGAGGTCTGGCATCAACTGCATCATGGATACACATCGAACACGGCACTTGTTTAAATATCCTGCTGTTACATTAGATGAACACAGATCCCACTAGTGAGTGAGTGCAGATGTTTGACGCCGCAGTCAGTAGTATTCCAGCAACATCACACCCACCTGGAGATAATCAAGTCCGGTCCAGTGAGTGAGTGAGTGAATATTGCTTAACGCCGCATCAGCAATCTGGTCCAGTGACCGAGTGAGTGTGGTTTCAATCGCGGCTTCAAACAGTGTATCCCCTGGCGTGTGGAATCGTGATGTGAAATGGGGTTTGACGTCGCGTCCAAGATTATTGCACTTATATAGCGACGTGCATGCACGTGTATGTGTGTGTGGCTGCTTGTACTAGTCCGGACTTATGCCGATTTATAGTGCTAGCACACTGAGATATCATGCCGCAGTTTAACATGAATACCCCACTCAGACACAGTATACTGGCTCCGAGCCGACCAGTCCTTGTTTTAGCCCCTTAATGCCGAGCGCCAGACAGGGTAACAACAAGTACCATCTTTTAATGTCTTTTGGTATGACGCGGCTGGGGATCGAACCACGGACCTTCCGCTCTCCGGGCGGACGCTCTACCACTAGACCACGGAGGCGGTCGCGTATGGAATCGAATCGAGAACTTCGGCGTGACGAGAGGACGCTTCAACAGGCTACCCCAGCGTTCAACACCAGGAAGTGTAATACAATGAACTACGGTTATAACGAACTCGAAGGGACCACAAATTTTAGATCGTTATAACCATAGTTCATTATAAGCATATACAGTATACTACGTTTATAACGAACACGCTTATAACAAACTGTTTTTTGGCCCCGTCCATTTGCTGTATAAATGCTGTGTATGTGCTTATAACGAACTACGGTTATTACGAACCAAATTTAGTGGTCCCTTTAAGTTCGTTATAACCGTAGTTTACTGTATACAGCAAATGGCCGGGACCAAAAAATAAGTTCATTTTATCCGTTAGTTCGTTATAAGCGTGTTCGTTATAAACGTTGTTTACTGTACTATGTGAATGTAAACTAATGTCCAAAAGAAACGATACCACGTGTTTGAAATGACATTACAAAAAAACTAAACGATACTGACATTTCAAATTGGTATATGACTTGTGAGTAATGTTTTCACAGTATGTGTACAAAAATTCATTGTAATCAATCCTTTACAATCATGAGGACAGACATGTAAAGACGCGGGGCGTCCAAAATGAAAATTTCATTTGAACACAGTTGATGAGTCAAGTGTGGAAAATGTCACAACACACGTCTCAAAGTCACGTTAGTACCGGGTATGTCCACCGTGAGCGTCAATACACGCTAGTACACGTCTACGGGCTGATGACGTCAGACGTCTGATGACGTTGGGGGGGGGGGGGGGGGGGGGGGGGGGATGCGTTGCCATTCATGGAGGAGGCATTGTTCCAATTCCTGGAAGTTAACTGGAGGCACAGGGCGATTCCTGACTTTGCGGCCGAGAATGTCCAACATGTGTTCGATTGGGTTCATGACCGGTGGACATGCCGGCCATGGTAAAACGTGAATGTTGGCGTTTGCTAGGAAGTTCTGGGTCAGCCTTGCCGTGTGAGGCCTCGCATTATCGTGCTGGAAAATGATACCATTAGGCTGTTGTTGGATGAATGGCACCACAACTGGTTGTAAGATGTCATCACGATAACGCTGCGCATTCAGGTTTCTTCAAATAACGACGAGTCTCGTTTTGACGTCACCGCAGATTCCACCCCAAACCATTAAACCTCCACCTTCATATGGCCTGACTTGATGGATGCAGTTCGGTGCCAAACGTTCACCTACTCTTCGGTACACACGCTGCCGGCCGTCGTTCCTGAAGATGCAAAATCTGCTTTCGTCAGAAAACATGACACGTGCCCAGTTCCACCGTTGCCACCGTCGAAGTCGCCTGGCCCATATCCGTCTGTTGAGTCGGTGTTGAGGTGTCAGGAACGCTCCGCGGTAGGGGCGACGTGCTCGGATACCATGTGCCCGCAGTCTCCTGTACACGGTTTGTCGACTTATCACGTGTCCCAGTGCCGTCCGTGCCGTTAACGTCGCCGTTACGAAGCGGTTCCGAAGGTGAAGTACCCGGATGTGGCGGTCTTCAATAGGCGTGGTCACCCGTGGTCTCCCGGTTCTCGGCCAGTCTGCTGTCCGACCTGTTTGACGCAACCGCTGCATTAACCTGGTGACGGTTATGCGCGCGCATCCTAACCTTCTGGCGACGTCGCGGTGCGTAGCTCCCTGTTGGAGCATTCCTACGGCTCTCTCTCTCTCTCTCTCTCAATCGCTGTCAAACGTGGCATTTCTTTTGTGTGCTTTTTGTTGCTGTGATCCCAACGTGTCGGGTCAGCAGTTTTATACAGAAGATATGCACGTGCATTTCGTGTTACGGGACGGAACGTCATTTGGGCAAATTGCACGCTTTTTTCTCAATTGATCAAAAGTTCCCGGTTTTATCGACCGAATACGTTTGGTTTGGAACGTAGGATACGCAAAAGTACCTCTTCAGACGATAATTAACTCTTCATAATAAAATATTTAGAAAAATGTGTGGTATCGTTTCTTTTGGACATCAGTTTATATAGCAATGTCCCACTTTCAATCAAACCGATCCATTGATATTTCCCAGGTGTGCCTGTGGCGGTATTGCGGATGTATTTCAAGGTCACGGTGACGGTGACATGAAAGGCGTCATGTGATGTTTGTAAACATCCCACTTATGCAAATATAACCTGTATCGTAGCGTACATACATCACCTGACTGTGACCATGTCTAAATGTAGTCTCTCAAAGTACACGCCACTGTTAGGTCAGGTATAGACAGGAACATCACAATTCATTTCCGTGTAATTTCTTTCAAGCCGTTAGGCACGTGGTGATTGCCTCAGTCACATGCCCATGCGTATCAATGTTAAAAAAGATCTAGATCAACGACGCATTGCAGTAACGGGAGGGCTGTAATATTGCTGAGTGCGGTGTTAAAGGGGCACTGATCTACCGCAATTCCCCGGGACTGGTTGTTGCCTTTGTTATTGTTTTTTTCCCAGTGAGTACCCGGATGTATAGCAGAAATCTAGACTAGTTCGCGACCTCTGCTGCGCCATTCGTAAGCGCATTAGTCACTTTTATGGGTAGTAATAAGGGCGTATGGTCACATTGATCAACAAAATGAAATACAGTTTTCGAGATAATAAGGAAATGTAGGTATCTTTGTGAGTAGCATCGGTAATGGTGACGAAGTTTTGATGAGTCACTTGCTTGGTAATTTTGCGATTTTCGTTTACACTATTTTGACTTGCAAAACAAAGTATATATTTCACCTGAGCATATGCTTTTTTTATAGTGTGTATATTTTTTTACTGTCAAATGTGTAACACATTTATTAAACGTCTAAATATTCAGTTATTTTACAAAGTGACTGAAAAACATTTCCATCTGTATTATTATGACAACGAATTCCAAACATTTTGATGTTTAATGTCATCACCAAGAGACTGAAAATGTAACGTTGAAAAGTACATTTCTAAGTTGTTTGGCTTTTAATCCTACATAATAATCTGTTGTGATGTTTTTAGGCCCTTTTGATCGTCTTGATCAATCTGGACAGATGTTTTAGTCAAAATGACTGAAATATTTACACATTTTATAAATTGCCTGAGAGAATCACATTTTACAAATTGACGGTAATATATACACGCTTACAAAGGAAAAGACCTGTGACAACAACGTCTATCGCGCATTGAAGAATTTCCCAACCAAGACGTAGAGAAACAAGAACGAATCGGTTCAAATTAAGGAAAACAAAATGCAGATATCATAATTACAACCTACCAAATTTATGTGTATAAGTTTTAGGCAGCTTCCTTGTTCGAGGAATGTATCCGTGAATATCCACACAAAGGAACAATATCCCACTCGTCTGCAGCTGTACAAAGAAACTTATTCGATGTCACGTGTCTCAGTAACAATCAAATATTTTAAAAGATATATATCGTTTCGGGATATTATAACCCGTGTTCGTTTCTCAACTGATCGCTTGGATTGTTTCAGGTGTTTTACATAGGTGTCAAGTCTCAATGGTCGGCTGAGAAAGCCCACGTGACAACTACTTTCATAGCGTCCACAGTTCCTAAAAAATCCATTGAGTGATAGATAACAATGATCAATCAATCAACGTATTATCAGTTAACCCTTTGAACAAAGTATGTTGTTTTTACATCGGCACTTCGCGCCATGATATGAGTGTATTCCCTTTGTTTTAGTAAACCTAGACATGTAAACACTCACTCTTGACATATCCACTGTGCAAGATAACAGTGATTAATCAATCAACGTATTTTCTGTTAATCCTTTGATGACTAGGAACGATCCGTTGATTTACAAAAAAAAGTAAATCAACTGATCATTCATCTCTTGCTGGGCTGCCACGTGCATATTACATAACACACATTTCACCTCACTTCAAACCTGGATTTAGATTGAATAATTACCCCAGACACAATAAATGCCAAATGGGAACCTTTGTCAGGTAATATAAGTGGTGCTACCACTAATTGTACCTGTAATAAATTCATTAACTGAGCATCAAGTGAATGACGACAAATACACAAGTGTAAGGTTATACGAGAAAACGTGGATGACAACAAGGGAGTAGTAATCGTATTATCGACGCAAGCCGAAATCCGAAAATGCTTTCACTGCATGGATACTGTTTTTAGTATTAAACTATAACCATCTGGGGTATTTCCAAATGACGACATCCGATGAGCTCCCTTGTTCTTTTTGTCTGTTTGTTTAGGCTGAAGAAATGAATTAACATGCGCCCTTTGTCGAAATCTTTATAGATTACAGTTGACCAATCAGTGTTCAAAATTGCGTAAAACAAATATTGCCTCCAGCCTCCAAGTTTATTTAGCTGTCCTTGCAGACGGTACCCCAGTCTCTGGTCACGCTCAGTTGCGTTGCGGATCATCCGGATACTCACGGGGGAAAAACAATAACAAAGGCAACAACCAGTCCGTTAGATCAGTGCCCCTTTAAACAACAAACCAACCAACAACAACAAAAGTAACGGGAGAGGTGATTGACCATACACAGTGCGTGCGCATGTGGCTGCTTGTACCAGTTCAGTATTCAGATCTAATCCGGATCTTAACGGGTGAAATTGTGACGGGATTATAACTATACAAGGCTCCGTGTCAAAAATAGATGTATGTGACAGATGTATGTATACAGACACTAAACTTTTGCTGCATTTTTTTATTTTGGGATTAACTACAAATTCTGCCCAGATATGTCAACGGTAACGTTATTTTTCAGGGCATTATCATTTGTCGGGCTCGATGTCTGGCATTAACTGCATCATTGATACACATCGAACACGGCACTTGTTTAAATATCCTGCTGTTACATTAGATGAACACAGATCCCACTAGTGAGTGAGTGCAATTGTTTGACGCCGAAGTCAGTAGTATTCCAGCAACATCACACCCACCTGGAGATAATCAAGTCCGGTCCAGTGAGTGAGTGAGTGAATATTGCTTAACGCCGCATCAGCAATCTGGTCCAGTGACCGAGTAAGTGTGGTTTCAATCACGGCTTCAAACAGTGTATCCCCTGGCGTGTGGAATCGTGATGTGAAATGGGGTTTGACGTCGCGTCCAAGATTATTGCACTTATATAGCGACGTGCATGCACGTGTGTGCGTGCGTGTGTGTGTGGCTGCTTGTACTACTCCGGACTGATGCCGATTTATAGTGCTAGCACACTTAGATATCATGCCGCAGTTTAACATGCATACCCCACTCAAACACAGTATACTGACTCCGAGCCGACCAGTCCTTGTTTTAGCCCCTTAATGCCGAGCGTCATACAGGTTACAACATGTACCATCTTTTAATGTCTTTTGGTATGACGCGGCTGGGGATCGAACCACGGACCTTCCGCTCTCCGGGCGGTCGCGTGTGGAATCGAATCGAGAACTTCGGCGTGTCGAGAGGACGCTTCAACAGGCTACCCCAGCGCACAACACCAGGAAGTGTAATACAATGAACTACGGTTATAACGAACTCGAAGGGACCACAAATTTTAGATCGTTATAACCATAGTTCATTATAAGCATATACAGTATACTACGTTTATAACGAACACGCTTATAACGAACTTTTTTCTGGCCCCGTCCATTTGTTGTATATATGCTGTGTATGTGCTTATAACGAACTACGGTTATTACGAACTAAATGCTGTGGACCCTTTAAGTTTGTTATAACCGTAGTTTACTGTATACAGCAAATGGCCGGGACCAAAAAATAAGTTCATTTTATCCGTCAGTTCGTTATAAGCGTGTTCGTTATAAACGTTGTTTACTGTACTATGTGAATGTATATAGCAATGTCCCACTTTCAATCAAACCGATCCATTGATATTTCCCGTGACGGTATTGCGGATGTATTTCAAGGTCACGGCGACATGAATGAAAGGCGTCATGTGATGTTTGTAAACATCCCACTTATGCAAATATAACCTGTATCGTAGCGTACATAAATCACCTGACTATGACCATGTCTAAATGTAGTCTCTCACAGTACACGCCACTGTAATTTCTTTCAAGCCGTTAGGCACGTGGTGATTACCTCAGTCACATGCCGATGCGTATCAATGTTAAAAGAGATCTAGATCAATGATGCACTGCAGTAACGGGAGCGGGGATTGCGCATGTGGCTGCTTGTACCAGTTCAGTATTCAGGTTTTAAAGTGCTAGCGCACTGAGATACTATGCCGCAGCTGAACATAGTTACCCCACTCAGACACGGTATACTGACTCCGAGCCGGCAAGGGCTTGTTTTATCCCCGTCACGCCGAATACCAGGCAGGGTAACAACAAGTAACTTCTTTTAACGTCTTTTGGTATGGTAGGGTCAAGTGTGTGGAATACGTTTTCCAAGTCCATATGTGTATACGTATAGACTTAATTGTGTGTGTGAACACCTGATAATTAATACTTACACAAATGCTGGAACTTGTTTTATTCAGTTGTGTAAGTTGGGTACAATTTATCACACGGAAACAAGGAAACAAACGCAAGAGGCGTATAAACTTACGGCAGAAAAGAAAGTATACACCCATGTTTGATGGAGGCTAAAACTGAGACTGGTTATTCGATGGTGATGCGTTTGATACGGGCATCATAGTTGTGTTTAGGACCTTAAGTTTCCCTTCTTTCACAACTGTTTGTAATTTTGGGTTCAAATCCAGTTTTCAAGCATATACTTTCTTTTGCTCGGCAATTTTGTATAAAACACAAATACATTTATTTTTGAAAATCAGGAATCAACGAATTACACCTTTAGCTGGTTTTGAAGCATACCAACTATAGCTACAGTCCAGGACAAAAACAATGTATTTCCACGCATTTCCACGCATTTCCACGAAGAGCTGCACTTACAATCTTGGTTGTAAACACACTCACACTCAACTTTTGTCTCGAAGTGTAAGCCAACAGTCACAACTGACTTATTCCCTTCGTTCCCTCTTTTTCTCGAAGTGGAAACATCACCTTATCAACATCCTTCGTTGCCCTTTTGGTGTCGAAGTAAGCATCAACGCACAATAGAACATGTCCAAATCCTCTCTTTGTCTCGAAGTCGGCCTCGCGATTGAAACAATAAGACTTCATGTGCGCGCAGTCCGTGTTCTCAAAATACCTAAAAGAAGCAGGATATAACTGCACCACATCAACACGCACATCCCTTTCTTTTTGTATCGAACCCAGGACCCATTAACTCAAACATTAGTTGACACGAGTGAGTGAGTGAGTTGGGTTTTCCGACGCTTTTCACGACTTTATACATTCCACATGTTCGGCATGTCGAGCGAACACTTGACCCACTAGGCCCCCTTTTAAGTTGACAGACGTTATCTGTCGATATTCGTCACCGATACAAGTACCTGTCTGACCTTGTAAAGAGTTCCGCTAAAACGTGAACTGACTTCCAAAATAATAGTTTGTTTAATAACACACTGTGTTCTTACTTAATATAGTACTTTGAATAATAAATACCCTAAATAACACGGGGCCTGCCTTCTGTCATAGGCGGATCCAGAGGGGGTCCAGAGGGTCAACACCCCCCCCCCCCCCCCCCCTTTGAAAACCAAATGTAGTGTGTTGTAGACAATCTCCCCCCACCCCATGCTGGATCTGCCCTGGCTACGGTACTGAGTTGCACAATACCGCGCCGTGGGCGCCCCGCTATCGGGGACTTCGGTCACGATGACTTGAGGAGTGCACTCTAGCTTCACGTGATGCACGAGGGAACTAAGAGAGTTGCAAGCAAGCAGGCCAAGATGTCGGACGAGAACACGAGAGCAGAGGTCCCAGATGTACCTGGAAATACAGGGAAAATATTAATCAATCTCTTGGGTACAACAATCATTCATTAGTAGTAGTAGTAGTAGTAGTAGTAGTAGTAGAAGTAGTAGTAGTAGTAGTAGTAGTAGTAAACCGTGAAGATCCGGGGTAGAATAGGACTTCGGCAACCCATTCTTGTCGTAAGAGGCGACTATGCTTGTCGTAAGAGGCGACTAACGGGATCGGGTGGTCAGGCTCGCTGACTTGGTTGATGCATGTCATCGTATCTCAATCGATGCTCATGATGTCAATCACTGGATTGTTTGGTCCAGACTCGATTACGGACAGACCGCCGTCATATAGCTGGAATATTGCTAAGTGCGTCAAACAAAGTCGTAGCAGTAGTTGTTATTGTTGTTGTCGTAGTAGCAGTTTGTTGGGGTTTTTTGTTTAACGCCGCACTCAGCAATATGCCAGCTATATGATGGCAATCTGTGAATAATCTAGGCTGGACCAGACAAACCAGTGATTGACATCATGATCATGGATCTACGCATTCGGGATACGATGACGTGCGTCAACCAATTCTCTGTCTATTTGTAGTAGTAATATGAGAGGTATTTGTCGTTTTTCTTGTGTTCACGACAACGAAGTTGTACACTGCAACTTCTCAGACAGCGAGGTCGCCGTACACGGAATGACGTGGAACGGGAATATCAACACTCGCATTACGTGGCGCCAAGGTCGCGAAAAGATTCAATGCGTTGTATTATAGTGAGACAGATCGGATCTTGGCGGGATTATGACCTACACATACAGAATAACTCCCGGAACACGCAATCGAGTCTGGACCAGACAATCCAGTGATTGACATCATGAGCATCGATCCACGCAATTGTGATCGATGACATGCATCAACCACCTGGCCACCCGATCCCGTTAGTCGCCTCTTACGACAAGCATAGTCACCTTTTACGGCAAGCATGGGTTGCTGAAGGCCTATTCTACCCCGGATCTTCACGGGTCTTGTTCGGGTCATAGTGAGTAAGTTAACGCCGCCCTTAGCACTATTCCAGCGATATAACGGCGGGAAGCACCAGAAATGAGCCTCACACATTGTGACCACTTGGAGAATCGAACCCGGGCATTCTACAGGACGAGAGAAGCTTTAGCCACTGGGCTACCCCTACGCCCCTGGCATTGTCTACATGTTTGGTGCACGATTTAACACATTTTTCATTGACAGGAAAATCGAGACCCTTCTGTAATTACCATGTGTCGTCAATATATTTAGCGATAAAAATAAAGAGCGTTTGTGCTATACTGCAAATATTTCACCACATCCTGCTTTCTCTCAATGTTAAAAGGGGCGGTCGGGTAGCCTAGTGGTTAAAGCGTTCGCTCGTCACGCCGAAGACCCGGGTTTGATTCCCGACATGGGTGCAATGTGTGAAGCCCATTTCTGGTGTCCCCCGCCGTGATATTGCTGGAATATTGCTAAAAACGGCGTAAAACCATACTCACTCAAACACTCAATGATAAATGACAGCAAATCTTACCCTTGTCTTGTTTGCCTTTGGACGATCCAAATGTTTCATTGTCGCCCTCAACGTGGGTTTTGCCGTGCGTGTCGTTTTCACCGTCATCACCGTTACTGTCGCCACGATTCCCCACGGAGCCATTTGGCAAGGAACCGTTAGACAAGGAGCCGTTCACTAGGGGAGGTACAGAAACATTAAATATAATAATTTCGGTACTCAAGAGGTCACAGTCCATGAGTACATCACAAACATAATAATATAACAGTTCTAAAGTGTAATCGACCTATGAACATCCGGGGTAGAATAGGTCTTCAGCAACCCATGCTTGCCGTAAAAGGCGACTTTGCTTGTCGTAAGAGGCGACTAACGGGATCGGGTGGTCAGGCTCGCTGACTTGTTTGATGCATGTCATCGATCCCAATTACGTGGGTCGATGCTCATGATATCAATCACTGGATTGTCTGGTCCAGACTCGCTTATTTACAGACCGTCGTTATATAGCTGGAATATTGCCGAGTGCGGCGTAAAACAACAAACCAACCAACATTAGCGACCTATTGTCTTGGTACAATATAATTTGTGAACATTAATCATTTCATAAAGAATTAATTTGTATATTTTGTAAGAGATGGTACAGAATGACTGGAGAGTATCCATGTGTTATGTGTTTGGGGTCCTCATAGATGTATTCTGTGGTAGCTTTTATTCTACAGTGAGTGAGTGAGTGAGTGAGTTAGGTTTAACGCCGCTTTTAACATTATTCCAGTTATATCACTGCGTGTCAGCTTAATGTGGGAGGAAAGCCAGAAGTGATGCAGGTCTAAAAGGTTTACCACTTCGGTGAAACCCACGAGCACGGGTATGACAAACCTAGAAACATAATGGGGGCGAACCGGGATTCGAACCCACAATCATAGGTTTCTGGCGTGCCCAAGGGACGCAACTCTGCACAGCGAATCGCGGCGCCTTAGACGAAGGTGAGCACGAGGAGACGTATTACTAACGACAGCCTTGTTGTGTCATGCGCTCAGTAAATTAGATTCCTCCTAAATATCAATTTTAATTAACGTTCATGTTACAATGTCGATAATTTTTTCATTTGAACACTCCGCCTTACGGCGTCGTGTTCAAATGAAATTTTCGTACATCCATTCAGCATAACATCACGCAAATCTTACAAAACGAAATATTTATCTCCTAATTAACTGACTAATTTCTATAATTTTAATGTGACGTCGATATATTTAACGATAACAAGCATTTGCATTTTATTGTAAATATAGCTAACTGGTTTCTCTGAATTTTAACTAAAAACGCCATTCTTACCCTTATATGGTTTGTCCTTGGACGACCGCATTGATTCATTGTCGCCCTCAACGTTCCATTTGCCGTGCGCGTCCTTTTCACCGCCGCCAATGTTACTGTTGCCACCATTAACTATAGCCAGAGTCCCGTTCACTAAGGAGCCGTTAGGTTGGGAGGTAAGTGGCCGACACCTGACACATGTAGACAAAGCAATCAACATTGCCACTGAATACGCCATCTGCCTTTTAATTCGGAATTCCTGTAAAGCGCCCATGCCGATTTATTACGAAGTATTGTCCTGTACAAACCTGGGCAATATTCACGCCGGAGTTCGTGGATGTCTTCAGATACAGCGCAAGTCTAGTTTCACTGGTGTTGCCAAACACTCTGCTATACAAACCACGGTGTGAGGAGAACGCGAATATGTCCGAGACAATATATCACTGATCGTCGAGAATCGAATTCTAAAAGCTGTTCACACAGCGCGACATAATAGCTACATAAACCACGACCTGTTGAGCGTGAATCGTATAATCTGCAGATATGTATCTTCACATCTATATATATATGTAATCTGTTGAAATATTTCCGCTTACAAAGCCTTAATTTGTACAAGTTGTTGTGATGGGAAATCCCACAAAGGCTATTTAAACATACACGTAGCGTCGCACCTCATTCACTCACGTGATTTCCCCAAGCCGAGGCGCATTACTGTGATCTAATACTGAAATGAAAATCGCATTTATAACAATTGAAGAAACTTGCCAATATACAAATGGTAAAAGTAGCAGTGTAAGTATGTTATGGATAGCTTAAATTTAATCGCAATTAATATGATACAGTAAACTACGGTTATAACGACCTCAAAGGGACCACTGATTTTAGTTCGTTATAACCGTACTTCGTTATAAGCATATTTACAGCATATATACAGCAAATGGACGGGGCCAAAAAACAGTTCGTTATATCCGTCAGTTCGTTATAAGCGTGTTCGTTATAAACGTAGTATACTGTATTGACATTGTAGCTTTAATGGGGTTTTATAAACTGTCCACACAAACCAACCCTTGTTATGTTTGTTTGTTTGTTTGTTTGTTGTTTAACGCCGTACTCAGCAATGTTCCGGCTATATCACGGCGGGCTGTAAATAATCGAGTCTGGACCAGACAGTCCAGTGATTGACATCATGTACATCGATCCACGCATTTGGGATACGATGACATGCATCAACAAAGTCACGCGACAGCCTTGACCTGTATGAACATATATACGCCTGAAGGTGTGTGTGTGTGTGTGCGTGGGGGGGGGGGGGGGGGGGGGGGATATGGCGTGTTCCGGGAGTTGTTCTGTATGTGTAGGTCATAATCCCGCCAAGATCCGATCTGTCTCACTATAATACAACGCATTGAATCTTTTCGCGACCTTGGCGCCACGTAATGCGATTGAGATACGATGACATGCATCAACCAAGTCAGCGATCCTGACCACCCGTTCCTGTAAGTCATCTCTTACGACAAGCATAGTCGCCTGTTACAGCCAGCATGGGTTGCTAAAGAACTATTCTACTCCGGATCTTCACGGGTATTGTTATGAAAGACCAGGGCGGATGGAGTGCATACAGTACGTGAATATGACGAGGCCCCATGGAAATGGGGATGCTTTAGGTTTTGTGTGAATTTGTGGTGGTGTAGTGGATAGAGTGTCTACATGCAGAGGAGTAGGTGGGTGGTTCGATCCACTGACAGTCTCCGTGTAGTATAGTGGATAGAGTGTCTGCCTGTAGAGCAGAAGGTCGTGGTTCGATCCCCTGACAGTCTCCGTTGTGTAGTGGATAGAGTGTCTGCCTGTAGAGCAGAAGGTCGTGGTTCGATCCCCTGACAGTCTCCGTGGTGCAGTGGATAGAGTGTCTGCCTGTAGAGCAGAAGGTCGTGGTTCGATCCCCTGACAGTCTCCGGTGTGTAGTGGATAGAGTGTCTGCCTGTAGAGCAGATGGTCGTGGTTTGATCCCCTGATAGTCTCCGTGGTGCAGTGGATAGAGTGTCTGCCTGTAGAGCAGAAGGTCGTGGTTCGATCCCCTGACAGTCTCCGTGGTGTAGTGGATAGAGCGTCTGCCTGAAGAGCAGAATGTCGTGGTTCGATCCCCTGACAGTCTCCGGTGTGTAGTGGATAGAGTGTCTGCCTGTAGAGCAGAAGGTCGTGGTTCGATCCCCTGACAGTCTCCGTGGTGTAGTGGATAGAGCGTCTGCCTGTAAAGCAGAAGGTCGTGGTTCGATCCCCTGACAGTCTCCGTGGTGTAGTGGATAGAGCGTCTGCCTGTAGAGCAGAAGGTCGTGGTTCGATCCCCTGACAGTCTCCATGGTGCAGTGGATAGAGTGTCTGCCTGTAGGGCAGAAGGTCGTGGTTCGATCCCCTGACAGTCTCCGTGGTGTAGTGGATAGAGTGTCTGCCTGTAGGGCAGAAGGTCGTGGTTCGATCCCCTGACAGTCTCCGTGGTGTAGTGGATAGAGTGTCTGCCTGTAGAGCAGAAGGTCGTGGTTCGATCCCCTGACAGTCTCCGTGGTGTAGTGGATAGAGTGTCTGCCTGTAGAGCAGAAGGTCGTGGTTCGATCCCATGACAGTCTCCGTGGTGTAGCGGATAGAGTGTCTGCCTGTAGAGCAGAAGGCCATGGTTCGATCCCCTGGCAGTCTCCGTGGTGTAGTGGATAGAGTGTCTGCCTGTAGAGCAGAAGGTCGTGGTTCGATCCCCTGACAGTCTCCGTGGTGGAGTGGATAGAGTGTCTGCCTGTAGAGCAGAAGGTCGTGGTTCGATCCCCTGACAGTATCCGTGGTGTAGTGGATAGAGTGTCTGCCTGTAGAGCAGAAGGTCGTGGTTCGATCCCCTGACAGTCTCCGTGGTGTAGTGGATAGAGTGTCTGCCTGTAGAGCAGAAGGTCGTGGTTCGATCCACTGACAGTCTCCGTGGTGGAGTGGATAGAGTGTCTGCCTGTAGGGCAGAAGGTCGTGGTTCGATCCCCTGACAGTCTCCGTGGTATAGTGGATAGAGTGTCTGCCTGTAGGGCAGAAGGTCGTGGTTGATCCCCTGACAGTCCCCGTGGTGTAGTGGATAGAGTGTCTGCCTGTAGAGCAGAAGGTCGTGGTTCGATCCCATGACAGTCTCCGTGGTGTAGTGGATAGAGTGTCTGCCTGTAGAGCAGAAGGTCGTGGTTCGATCCCATGATAGTCCCCGTGGTGTAGTGGATAGAGTGTCTGCCTGTAGAGCAGAAGGTCGTGGTTCGATCCCATGACAGTCTCCGTGGTGTAGCGGATAGAGTGTCTGCCTGTAGAGCAGAAGGCCATGGTTCGATCCCCTGGCAGTCTCCGTGGTGTAGTGGATAGAGTGTCTGCCTGTAGAGCAGAAGGTCGTGGTTCGATCCCCTGACACAGTCTCCGTGGTGGAGTGGATAGAGTGTCTGCCTGTAGAGCAGAAGGCCGTGGTTCGATCCCCTGGCAGTCTCCGTGGTGTAGTGGATAGAGTGTCTGCCTGTAGAGCAGAAGGTCGTGGTTCGATCCCCTGACAGTCTCCGTGGTGTACTGGATAGAGTGTCTGCCTGTAGAGCAGAAGGTCGTGGTTCGATCCCCTGACAGTCTCCGTGGTGTAGTGGATAGAGTGTCTGCCTGTAGAGCAGAAGGCCATGGTTCGATCCACTGACAGTCTCCGTGGTGTAGTGGATAGAGTGTCTGCCTGTAGAGCAGAAGGTCGTGGTTCGATCCCATGACAGTCTCCGTGGTGTAGCGGATAGAGTGTCTGCCTGTAGAGCAGAAGGTCGTGGTTCGATCCCCTGACAGTCTCCGTGGTGCAGTGGATAGAGTGTCTGCCTGTAGAGCAGAAGGTCGTGGTTCGATCCCCTTACAGTCTCCGTGGTGCAGTGGATAGAGTGTCTGCCTGTAGAGCAGAAGGTCGTGGTTCGATCCCCTGACAGTATCCGTGGCGTAGTGGATAGAGTGTCTGCCTGTAGAGCAGAAGGTCGTGGTTCGATCCCATGACAGTCTCCGTGGTGTAGCGGATAGAGTGTCTGCCTGTAGAGCAGAAGGTCGTGGTTCGATCCCCTGACAGTCTCCGTGGTGCAGTGGATAGAGCGTCTGCCTGTAGAGCAGAAGGTCGTGGTTCGATCCCCTGACAGTCTCCGTGGTGCAGTGGATAGAGCGTCTGCCTGTAGAGCAGGAGGCCATGGTTCAATCCCCTGACAGTCTCCGTGGTGCAGTGGATAGAGTGTCTGCCTGTAGAGCAGGAGGCCATGGTTCAATCCCCTGACAGTCTCCGTGGTGCAGTGGATAGAGTGTCTGCCTGTAGAGCAGAAGGTCGTGGTTCGATCCCCTTACAGTCTCCGTGGTGCAGTGGATAGAGTGTCTGCCTGTAGAGCAGAAGGTCGTGGTTCGATCCCCTTACAGTCTCCGTGGTGCAGTGGATAGAGTGTCTGCCTGTAGAGCAGAAGGTCGTGGTTCGATTCCCCGACAGTCCCCGTGGGCTATAAAACCGGAGGTGGGGTTGGCTTGGATCGTATCGGAAAAGATAATTGAGTGAGTGAGTGAATGAGTTGGGTTTAACGCCGCTTTTAACAGTATTCCAGTTATATCACGGCGTGTCCGCTTAATGAGGGAGGAAAGCCCGAAGTGATGCAGATCTCAGACGTTTACCACTTCGGTGAAACCCACGAGCACGGGTATGGTGCTGACAAACCTAGAAACATAATTGGGGCGAACCGGGATTCGAACCCACAATCATAGGTTTCTGACGTGCCAAAGGGACGCAACTCTGCACAGCGAATCGCGGCGCCTTAGACGACTGGGCCACCTGTGCCCCCCAGATAAGATAAGATAATGGTTGAACATGGCGTGGGGTTGGTGGTTATGTATGTCTTCGGGGTCCTGTAGTTCATCTAATTCATGTTTGATATTTGATAACAGATCCCCGATACAATTCTGCATCGCATTTTATACGCTTCAGCAAAGTGCATGCGTCGTGATCTAACGGTACATGATTCATTTCCTATGACACTTGCCTTGTATATATATTTTAGATCGTGCACCAATATATTTTCTTATCGAGTTGGAATCATCGAGAGTGTAGGGTTTTTACCGCCAAAATCATTTATAGGCATCTTCCCGGGGCAAGGGAATTAACTGACTGCAAAAGTCCAGCTTCCACCCTTGCCGAACTAGGCTGCATTTATGGAGTTATATTTTGGCTGGATTAACGAGTCTAAGCATAGTCCAATCAAAACCGCTTAAAGAAATAGACATCCAGATTTCGGTAGTTTAAAGCACGTGCACCGTCAATTTAGCGTCAACAGATATCTTTAAAATCTTTTCATGTTTTTAATCAAGGTGCTCAAATGATTTGAAGCACCTCGCGAAGTAAGACCTGTTTTATTACAATATAGATCTTGATTATCGATCAGATCGTCTTCACTGGGCGCCGCCAGTTCGTTTGAATCAAATGCAACTGATATAAGAGGTGGAATCTGGTTTGTCAATAGGAGGGGAAAAGAAGAGCCACTGGCGCCAAGAAATTCCAGCATTGTTCGACAAGGGTGGAAACTGGACTTTTACAGTCAGTTAATTCCCTTGCCTCGGGAAGATGTTTTTAGGGAGATACAGTTATCGCAGCGAGCGCGTGCAAGTCGCTCAAGGGCTTGAGAGAAAATGCA